CCAGCTCCTCTTCTGCCCTCCCATCTGCTCTCCTGCTCGACAGCGACCACTGCGACCGTCAGCAGCAGCAGCGCGAGCCACTGACGCGCGGACAGCCGGCGGCCGAGCATGAGCACCGAGAGGAGCGCGGTGAGCGCGATCTTGCTCTGGTACAGCACCTGGAAGGTCGGCGCGTCGATGCGCGAGATGGCGAAGAAGATGATGTTGTTTTGCAGCAGATAGAGGAGCGCGGGCACGGCCGACTGTGCAGACTGGCGAAGGAAGCCTGTGCAGACGGGCCCGAAGCCTTCGCCGACACAGAGGACGGCCGCACACACCGCCAGCTTGGCCACCTCGATGGTCAGCACCACGACCTGCCGGAGTTTCCGTTTACTCATATGCGGAATGCGCGTTCTCACAGCAAACAGGTCAGGCATCCTAGACCTGTGGCACGTAGTCGCTCTCGCCACGCGTGGCACGCGTGTACCGCATGAGCAGGACGACGCCCGCATTCTGCAGCACAAGGAGCCAAAAGACAAAGGTGGCCAACGATAGGCACGCCATGCGGTGGGCGGCCGACAACAAAAGCGCGGCGGGCCCCGCAGTTGCGTGGGTCCGCGCCACAGGTAGAGACGTTGAGCTCGACAGTGAATCCTGAAGAAAACAATTCCGGCGTGTGGAGGCGCTGCTCTTCGAGGAGTTCGGCGCAATGAGCGCGGGGGTGGAGGAGCTGCTGATGCGGGTGGCTAAGGTGGCGGGCCGGAAGCTCACGTGGTGGCAGTACGACCAGACGTCGTGGTCGGCGCGCGAATGGATGCCGTTTGCGCTGCAGCGACTGTCGGTGCAGCTCTGTCTGGACGGCGCTCGCGGACGAGGCACAGCGCGCCATTGGTGCGGCGTCGCGCGACCGCGAGGGACCGCGGGGGAATGCTAGTGGGATGGGGGGCTCTAAGGGGAAGGGAGCGGGGGGCGCCCAGTAGGGCGCCGGCGCCCCAGCGTAGAGGGCCGTGTGTAGCCCTCCTTTTGGTATAACAAACAAGTCTGTCGCACAGCACACAGGCTCGACACAGGTGCAGTTCGGCTGAGTGTCTTGTCTTGTGGTTCTGTGTGTCGCTCCTGTGTGACCGTCATCGCCCGTCCTGCGTCCACCCATACCGCGTTGACTGTGTTTCGCCTTCCCATCAATCAATCAATCAATCAGGTGCGAACTGGCGCGTGCTAAGTACTATCACCGGCACACCACCGGAGCCGGAAGAAGAATTCTTCCAGGGCGCAGACTGACAGCACACTGGCACGACAAGGGCGCGGACTGGCGCGGACTGGCACACACACCGGCTCACCACCGGAGCCGCCTGAAGAAGAATTTTTCCAAAAACTGCCTCGCACGACACTGGGCACGGGACTGGCGCGCACTGGCACTAACACAGGTACACCACGGGAGCCGCCTAAGGGATAGCCTAAGCGACTCCTGCGAGGACGGCGACCGCCCTCGCCGCGTGAATAAAAATTAGGTGCCCTGTAGGCTTGGCTGCAAAGGGGATTTTTGTTGTGCCGACTTCGATCTTCGTGTGTGCTCCGCTTCTGAGAGAGAGATTTTGAGACATGAGAGAGAGAGAGACAGAGACAGAGAGAGAGAGAGAGAGAGAGAGAGAGAGAGAGAGAGAGCAGAGAGAGAGAGAGAGAGAGAGAGAGAGAGCCGAG